GAGAGAGGCACACAAGTAGCAACGGAAGGTGTGATAGAGCAAGGGTGATGTGCCGCCTTTGGAGGGAAAAAATAATCGGTCGGTGGTCGAGTCGTCGAGGACTTGTGATTTACGGTGCTCAATTGTAAATATTGACCGAAAGAAGTGGGGAATGTTTGCTAGGTTAGTGAAGCCGTTAAAAATCTTAAATTTGGAGTTATACTTCGTATGAAGCCGAATTGGGAGATCGAATGCGAGAAGTCTTGAGCATGATTGTGCTCAAGTGAGCATTAACTAATATGCAACAAGGCTGGCAGTCGGATATCTCAAGATGTAGTCTATCCAAGAGCAAGTTTTGCAGAACTTGGACCTGCCCACATGCCTTCTTACCTGTCACGACGCTGTGCTAACTTGTCCTTGCTTCATCATTCCTTCACCGATTCTGAATTCTGAAAACATTGGTTTGATGATTGATCAGATTTCTTCTGCAACTAATCATTCTTCCATTGCACTTGTGCGACCCCCAAATATCGTACTGCTTTGCTGACTGCATCGAAGAATCATTTACTGAAGTAAATGCTTGTGATGGCTGAGGGCTAATGACAACCTGATGACTACTTATTCATCCGATATAGGAAAGAGATACGCAACTCGATATTACCCGTGTCAACACCTGCAGAATCATTCGACGCACTTGACTTACCTAGTTCATTTAAACATCAATGCCGGTCTCTAACTCGACTCTACTTTCCGTTCAACGACATTGAATCGCCAACTATTTCTTGTTATGATGCTCTACTTCATTCTGTTCCCTTGTAATTGATCCACTCCTCGGCAAATTTTTGACAATATACAGTAGGGTAGATCTTAAGAAACATATCCACTATTCATTATCGATAAAGTATCCATCTATCACAAGCATCACTCTTCAAGGATCAAAAAGATGTTGTGATGGGGATTTCGTTATGATAGGGTGGATGTTTGCGTTTGTTCTCCCACCAGTACGACCCCAAATTAAGCGAAGAAATTTTGTTGGTCTTTCTCGACGTCTAAATGGTCACAAATGGCAAGGATTTAGTCGCCAGAATACTATATTCACACTAGCTCCCGTCCATTCAACATGTTCACCTTGCTTACGCGCCCAATGACTGCAGCTCACCTTGATCATCGAATCACCTTATTTTTCCTTGAGTTTTGTCAATTGGGTCGTATAATTCGTGGAGTCCGCATGTACGGTAATCTAACCGGACTGCATGCACATACGCCGAGCAACGAACGAACTGACTGACTTCCCCTCATCAATGGCTGCAGCCTTCCCCTTGTCCAATATTGCATGGTCCTGCACCATTGCATGCGGACGGGATCTGCGGGATTCTAGGATTGTACCAACTCTGCGCCTTACCATGAGTAGTTCCATGGTGGGCCCATCCAATGATCAATTCCAATGGCTATGATGGATGATGTCTCTTCCTCTGCGACCATAAAGAGACGCTGTGCCCCCTCTCAAAATATCTTTTTCTCCTCAGCAAGCAGTCAATTCATTCTCAAGAGCTAGTCTCCTTCATTTTCCGCCCTTTTTTTGTTTTTCTTCATCTTTTTGTTTTTTCCCCGTTCCCAAAGAGCTGTGCTCTGTAATATCATACCAAAATCTTTACATTCTAATCATTCTATCAAGTTGCCGGTCAACTTTTTATTAATTTTTTATTCACAAATCCATACAATCCGAATTTAACCACCAAAGACTAGTCTCTTCTTGCTCGAATTAGCCAATTTCAGTACATTGAATTTTCATCTTAGTATTTCGCATCAAAATCGATCAAAATGGCAGCTATTCAATTATCATTCTCTCTCCGTGTTTCTTCCAGTGTTAAGACCGTTCATTTGCTTGGTAGCTGGGATAACTATGCTGGTCAACTTCCACTCGCTAAAGACAAGACTTCTTCAAAATCAGGTAGCTGGAAAGGTACTTTCAGATTCCAAGGCACCACTCTTCAACCTGGTCAAAGATATTGGTATTACTACATCATCGATGGATACCATGTCTCACACGACCCTGCCGTCTCATCAACTACCGAGCCAACTACCGGTCGCGTCTTGAACATCCTCGATGTCCCAGTCGAAAAGTCCTCAAGCCGATCATCCAAGTCCAGTTCATCAAGCTCCAAGCATTCTTCCAGCTCATCATCTAAGCACTCTTCCAGCTCCAAGTCATCACACTCCTCACACTCATCTTCCCGCAGAGAATCCCGCCGCGACTCACATCTCAGCGTTGACATTCCTAAAGGTCGACCCCTCTCCATCTCTCAAATCAAATCTCCTAAGCCCATGTCTCCACACGCCACCAAGCACATCCTCGAAGCTGATTATGCTGCTGGTCCAACTGTCGATGAATTGACCGCACGTTTTGGTGCTACCACCATGGATGAGTACGATTACGATTACGATCTTCCAGGCTCACCATCTTCATCCGTTGGCTCCACCATTTCTGACACCAGTGGCACAAGCTCGCCATCTTCAGCTTCGAGCATGAGCGATTATTCATCAGGTTCTAATGCATCGTCCTGCACCTGTGAGAGATATGGAATTACGAGAAAGGGAGATAGAATCAAGTTGGATTGTGGAGGTTCTCGATGCGGATCCAGCGATTCAGAGTCCTGTAGCTCAGAGGATGAGGCAGATTACTCACGATCATCCCGCAGAAATGGAATCGTTGTCCGTCGATGAATGAACACCCAATGATCCTGGACTGGATATTCAACACAACACACAGACACAAACACATGCCACAAAGAGATATGTGCCATTTTCGCACCTCGCTCAAATATTCACCTCATTGCAAGTTTTCGCATCTAATTAAATCAAAAATCTCGAAAAATATGCATGCATGCATCAAGTCAAGTCTGGTACTTGTCATGATGTATGTCCCACAGGAAACCGAATCCGCGGCGCAAAACGAAATCAGCGAATCATTCGCAAATTTCATGTACACTTAACAAACGACAAGTTTTCATGGAACTATTTACTGTACTTCTTCAATTTTTGGGAAGGAAAGAAAAGTTACCACATGAAGAGGAGGAAAAGGGGACGATAAATTGCCAGAAGGAGGGGGGAGGGGGTGGTGCAGGATAATGATAGACACATATTCTCATGATTGAATGAGATATGACAGGTCTTTTATTGGTAATGAAACATGATGGTCATGATTCATGATGATGAGAAATATTGGCACGACAGATTGGATAATGATTATGTGTCAAGTCATGATAACGAGATGATAGATGGATGGGATAGAGGACAATTGAATCTGTTCCACACCATGCCTTTTTGATGCCTTCGATTTGTGTGATGTGATTGCAAGTTATTTTAATCTGTTGGTCGCCGGCCCTTGGCCTTTCCAGTGTTTCATGGCTCAACATTCTTTTGTCTGGCACGGTAATGAGCGGTAATTTTTAATTTATGGTGCATTACCGATTGCCCAATAGAAGTCCCGTTCAAAGATAAATTCAGTACTGATTCTCATCAATGCATAATTTCATGGGTAGTTTAGTAACTTAAATCAATTAGACCCCATTTTCGTCACCTACCACCAGCCCTCGACCTCCTATGAAACTTCTTCAACCCCGGATTTATCCATTAATAGTCTTCCTTTTCAACAATACAAGGATAAGAAATTATACATCCTGAATAACCCTACTTCTAAGTTGAATCATTCGCTAGCCAGACATGTTTCAGGTGGTGGATGTTAATGTAGCGGTAGAAGTCCCATAACTTCATTTGTATTCGAATAATCTACATTACTATATTCATTAATAGCCTTACTTCTCGTTTTGAGTACACACATTTATACATATATCTAGGACTTCGAGTCACCTTTGTTTCATGAATCAATATTCCTCCACCGCCATCCTCCGGGGTGCGTTGAGCCAGAGCAACTCCTACTCCTGAGTTGAGGAGTTATAGCGTCCCATCTGAAACTTCTTCTTTTGTGTAACTAGATCTCAATATCAGTCCCTATAGAACTGATCTCATTGCCCTCAGCTTAAAATCTGTCCGGTTTTGGGAGACTGAAGCAGATCAGAGGACTGGTCATATCCTCACCATGACCCCTCTTCATGCTCCGCTTGTTTCCATCACATAATCAGTGCTCTTCAATTATACTCCATCAATTCTGTTTTTGTTCAGAACAATCATTTAGTGCCTCTTGACCTTTTCTCTCACATCCAAAGCTAAGTTTGACACTAGAAACCATGAACAAAACTAGATCCACAAAATGGGAAAAGTGATATCTATTGAATTCGTTTCATAATCAACGGTCGTCGGTTACGATTTGTGCAAGAAACCTTCAATTCTCTCCCTACTAGAATGGAAACTTGATCCTTTACAGCTACCAAATACTCAGAACGATACTTCCATTAGAAGGCCCCGCTTCCCGTTAATAGCTCTTAAACATCACTTCTTTCTCGAGAATGGTCAGCTTTATTCACTGCCCCTACCTACTTTCCCAAGACCCCTTTATAACTGATATCAACAGTCAGCACTGAATGCTGACTGATTGATCTTTTTGAAAGAGACTTTGGCTATGAGTAAGTGCTGTCGCCGCCCAGGAATCAAAGAACAAGTATAGAACGAGAACATTATGTGTGCGCCGAGAACTACACAGCTAGCCACCGTGAAGCCTTTGGACGCTATGTGAACTGATGCTGTATAAAATGCGACTTTTGCAAAATTTGTGACCACTTGCCAACACAGAAACTCTATAAACTAAACCAAAATAAACCAAACTTCATGAACTGGATTATAGCTAATTTTCAAGTTGAGACGTGGCAGGTACGAGAATGATCCCAAGTCGCTGATGCTGTGAGCGAGGTAATTGAGGCTATCTCCTACTGTGTATTAGTAAATAATCCCTCATCTATTCCTTTGATCGAAACTACTGATCTCAAAACATATTTCCTCCACAGCTCGAACCATTTTACATACTTCCTATCATCAAGTAGCCACCCAGAATATCAAGAATCAAGATGGACCAAGTTAGTAGAGACCATCAAATTCCTGAAAACGATCCAAAGACCCTCGATGGCTCCTCGATCTTCATGACTGGAAGCTCAGGAGATGCATTGATATCGCCAGTAACTTTGAAACAGAAGGCTATGGTATCGTTTCGTATACCTGAGGTTATATCGCAGACCTCGACAAACCGCAGCCAGATGATAAACTGCCAGACGGTCTTCTTTGGGACGTACCAACTACTTCTGGATTCAGTCTTGATCGATCGAGCGAGGTTATGGCCAAAATTGGTACTCGTTATGTTTGGTGGGATTGGATGTGTGTTCCTCGGGAGACTTTGAATGGTCATCGAACTATCACTGACAGCCTGAGAAGTGCAGGGCACGAAGAAACCGGGGAAGCAATTGTGTGCTCGCTTATTCCTAGTGTCAGTGAATTATAGCTAATCAATTTAATAGGAACATATACCGCAATGCTGAGAAGAGTATTGTGTGGCTTCATTCAACAGATTGGAGTTTGCAAAGCCCATTGAGATCGCTACTTCTAGCTGGATCAAAAGACAATGGAACGCTACCAGCCGAGCCGAAAGCATATTTTGATTAAATTGTGCAACTGCTCACTCAATCCCGAAAATTGGAACGATGGTTCGCCTCGGGTTGGACGCTCCAAGTTTCACTCCCCGAAACTATCCTAATCGATGGCGCTAGCAATGCTCTTCAACATGATACATTCATGCACAATGGAGGACACGCTTCGGTAATCGACTTGACGGCTAGGGTTACTAAAATCGCTGTCGAGGTAGGCCAATCCTTCTTGCGGTAAGCCAATGGAAAAGAACCCCAAAATTAGGTCGGCATACTGATTGATGAATCGGTTCACATGGCAAATGAATTTCGACAAATCCTTCGAGCTCTGGTCGTAAGGCTTCTCCGCTGCATATACTCAGTGGCAAGCAGAGCCGCAAATTCGGCATGGAGCAGGATTCTTGCTGGGCATTGATCTTAGCAATGGAGCTCGAGGACGTTACTGTCGACTACAAACTTCCCATGGATGAAATCAGGAGGACATTTCTCACAGCATTGTTTGAGAAATGTCAATGGTCAATGCTTTTGTTGTCTCAGCCTTTGTTTTCTGTGAACAAAGGGCAGTCGGCGAGCGGTTTTAGAGGCTGTCGAGAAAGCGAAAATACCGGCCTCGAGCTGGAATACCACGCGCGAGGTAGACGCCTCGGAATTCACAGGTCATGAATTATTCGATTTATACGGGAAATACTTCAAGTATCTCTCCCGAGTTCCGGTGATGGATGATGTAATAGTACCAGATTTACCAACCTCATTTTATTTGAAGGGTTACCACTAGCTCCCTTCGTATACACCGACTTGACCTCGCCAAAGGATACAATACGCTTGGTCAAAATGGTATCCAGCTCTCAGGATTTGTGGCTCCCCATCTGTGTGTCCACAAGAACTGTCAACTTCCGAGACGGTGCTCAATATGCTACGTTGTCTTACACTTGGAGCAATACTCATGGTATTTTTTCGTCAGAAGAAGCTGCTGAAGCCGACACACGGCACGATATACCAATCTTATGCGATGGAAAGATTATTAAAATTGGTGAGAATCTATATCGGTTCTTGTGCCGGTGGCGACAGTCTCTTGTAAACTTTGAAAATATACGACAGTCCATGCGAGGAAAGATGCAGGACCGAGCCTGCCCTCCCGGAGAGTTCTGGATTGACGCCATATGCATAAATCAGAAGAACGACGAGGAAAAGAATTCTCAAGTGTCCGTCATGGGGGATATTTACACTCAGTCAGACAACTTGGATCTGGCTAGGCGAAAGTGACGTGTTTTCTGAGCCAGCACTTGAATTTCTCTCCACCATGGGGAACAACACCATTCGCCAAAGCTGGACTCGGTTTCAAAAAAAAGCATCATGGGATCTAGTAGCTCTTTCGAGGGAGCTAGACTTGCCAGATGTCTTATCGTGGAAGTGGTTCGCTTTTTTTTGCATTCTTTCAACGCCAATGGTTTAGAACATCTTGGGTAATACAAGAAGCGGTTCTTTCATCTCAAATTGAAGTTCTGTGCGGATCCAAATTATTTTCCTGGGATCTTCTCGCTCTGACGTCCACTTTTCTGATAGTATCTGATTTGCTTCATCACGTCAACACCCTTGGCGAGATGGAGATGCAGGTAGGCCATGTCGAGCCAACTCTGAACCCATTCAAATTAGACAGCAGGACTCACCTGGAGTGGTCTAAGCACCAGCTATTTAGACCAGTTTTTCATTCTCGTTCAGACCCAGATCTAACCGTGTTCTATTTGCCATACAGACTCACGGGTTTCAAATTTTTTGATACAACCATTGAGTCACAAGACACGTCAACTATCCGTCCTTTGGGAGACACTATCGATCCCATTGCTATGCTTCTAGAGCTCTGGAGACTTAGTCGGGCAAATTTGTGCTTTGGCGCAAGAGATGAAGTCTCTGCCTGCGCCTCCCTAGCCAACAAAGATATCTACAGAACCCCGAATACGACTGCAACGCGACGACAACTTCTCCCGGACTATGGAAGATCAGTCACAGAGGTCTACCAAGAAGCAGAATGGTTCACCCTTCTCACCCATGCCGGGTTGCAAATATTATCGATGACACGCCACACAGCCCATCGCAACATACACGATCTTCCGTCCTGGGTCCCCGATCTCTCGCAGTCGCCGAGACTTCACGGGCTTTGGCAGATCGAATTGGAACCGGTAAAGGTAGGATGGTGTGCGGCTGGGAATTCGCGTTGGAAGATACCCCCGCCAGCCACGCTTTACGGGCGCTACTTGATGGTATAAGTTATCTTTGTGGATATGGTAAGCAAAGTTCAGCACCCGAAATATCGTCATCATAACGAACACCACTCGCGTTCGGATTACTCTGTTTTCTCGAAATCGCACCGACGTATATGGATTTGAACGCTGGTCGGAATTTATACGAAGTTATTTGGCGAACGACTATAGCCAATTTTGCGGATGGTGTATCACCAGCTGCTTCTGAACACGCGCTTCATTTTGAAAGGGGATGCTTGCAAGAATTAACAAAAACCAGGAAGGAGTATTTAGCCGGCGAGATTGATGCAGCCGAATTTACGAGCATGATAAGTATCGTGGAAGAGATGAAAAATACAGGCTGGCTGCGTGGCGATTGGAGGTTCATTCCTAATACTGCTCGCGACGGAGAAGAAGAGACGTCACATCTCATAGGTAGTGGCGAGGACGGCCCGTCGGGAGTGCTGTCGTCAAACAGCGAGGGTGTGAAATTCAACGATAGGGCAGGGCGTACTCTCACGCATCGCCAGCTGTTCTTCACTGCGCTGGGCTGTGTGGGGGTGGGGGGGGGGGCCTTGATGTGGAGTTTGGCGATTCGATTGTGGTAATGGCAGGATCGCCAGTGCCCTTCGTGGTGAGACAGGGCACGGATGGGCGGTATAAGCTTGTAGGGGAGGCGTACATAGACGGTATTATGTTTGGAGAGGCGGTATATGAGGGTGGGGAGTGGGAAGAGATCACGTTGGAATAGTATAGAATACCTTGCATTGGTAACCTTGGGTATAAACTCAGATACTTTAGCAATCCCTCAACCTTCAAATGCAGAGCATACTACCCATGCAATCCCGGATTCCAAGCCATTGAATCTCAAAAGCAAAACCCATTCACAATCCCATATCATCAGTGATTATTTCTCTTATTTTAAACACAGACCCCGATAAATCCGCTCAGGTATATGCATCCACATCACTGTATTCACGCAGAAGCTGTGAGCAAAATGCGGAGTAAAAGAGAAGAAGCAAAAATATCTCAACAGCATAGCATAGAGGTTGTATGACGCAAAAGGCGAAGTAACACCTTCCACCAATTTCAATTTCTCTGGTTTGAATTTCGGTTTCCTAGAGTTGTGATGCTGCTATGCATGGGGAATTCGTTTATTTCATTCCCCTACCATCCCACGATCCCCTGAAACTGTACTTTGTTGGCGATCATAATGTTCTTCGGTGCCCTCAGATCTCCGCATTATAGGGTCAGCACCCATTTTTCCTTTCTCCCATCTTATATCTCTAGTACATCTCTCCTCTCCCCTTTCATACCAGTACACCATCCCCCTCCCCCCAACACCTCCTAAATACCCTATCTCTATGCCTCTCAAGATTTCTCCACCTGCCCAGACCCTCCGCCAACCTCTTATCACCCTTCCCCCACCCCAACCCCTCATCACCTAACAACCACGTATAAGCGAAAATGCTCGCATCAAAGAGGCCCGGCGCGTCCCCAGAAAACCATTTCTCCTCCCCAAGTAACAAACTAAGTGCTTCCCATGCTCTATCCGCCTCCCTATAAATCATTTCCTGGTCAATAATTTCCGCGCTCTTGCGCAACTCAGATTCGGCTGCGGAGCGCAGTTGGTGGGCCGTGTAGAGGCGAACTGGGAGAGAGGAGGATGCCGGGTCTATGTAGAGGGGAGCGGCTATCTCGCGGAAGTTCGAGGGGGTCAGATAAAGAGAATGTAGCTTGAGAAGGTTAGTTAGGCCATCAAGTCTAATATTGGGCAAGCAAAGAGACGTACCCAAGCATTTCTAATATTATGATCGATTAGAGCTTGATAAGCTTCCAGTTTCCTACTCTTTGGTTCAGGGACTTTCTTTCCTTGTTCCTTTGCATATTTCACCAGTCCATTACTCGGTATTGGAAGGTGGTCATCCTGTGAAGAATTCGATTTGATGCCTGGTAAGAGGAAAGGTAGGACGCCAGTAGGTGAAGCATGATTATTTGAAGAGACAATTTCATGATTAACTCCTGCGAGATTTAAAAATGTCTGTCCATAACGTCAGCCTCGTAGTCTTTCATTTGATATTGCTTGCTTGAATCTCTACATAGGTAGACATACCTGCCATTTCAAACATCCCGGATTAAAACTAGGTCTGCCTCCATTCTCTTCCTCGCCCTCTCTACAGAAGATATATAAACTGGGCAATCTAGCATCTCTATCATTTCTTCTGCCCTTTGCCCCAGGACTCCTTTGTGGTAACTCGTTTGCTGGATATGTAACAACAGGAACTTTATCAAATAATTTCTTAACCGGTCTAGGTATACTGAATAAATCCTTCACGGCATTTGTCTGTCGAGTGAAATTGGATTGATTGTATGTGGTATCTTTCTGGGTACTCGAGCCATCTCTTCTCTCATTCTGCTTCGGCCTCGCAGACGAGGTTGGTTCATTTGAAGGAGGCATAGTTTCCCTTGCCAATCTCGAATGGTTTAGATAGATTCGACCAGGGTAATATCAAATCAGAACAATAATGGTGACTATGACTAGGGACCTTGGTAGTTTCTGCGCGTCTTCCAATAGTTTCCTTTCCTCTGGTGGGATGGGACCAAAATTAAAATGATGAGGCTGCCCGCGCTGGCCTCACCGCACCGACTCAATTAATTTCAATTGTTTAATTTTTTCATCTTTTTTTCTGGATAGCCGCGACACAGCAAATTTCAATGCGAAAAAAAAGGGCCGAGGAACGGCAAGAACGGAGGATGGGATAAGATAAGGCACCTTTGCATTTCGAATTAGATTTGAAGGTCCATATAAGTTACAAGTTACAACTTTCCCTAGTCCTGGCGAGTGTGAGCGATTAGTACCAGGTACGATACGATACGTATATTTACCGGAATGTTCACCTAAATGCCGAAGTATCTCCCGTTTTTAACTGATGGAAAAAATGGATTTATCCGTGAAATGTACGATGCCAGATGGGTTATTGTATCTGGGTTCTAGGTACCTAATGAGTGGATTGAGCGATTGAGCGATTGAGGAATCAATATTGAAAAGCTATCGTGAAAAATATCGAGAATGGTCGGGTATGACAGCAGCTACACAGTACTTGGTGTGGTCCCATATTACCACCGAAATAGCAACCTCCATATATATACAAAATGCATTTCTGGCGTGAGAATAATGGAATGATATTGGATGAGATGAACTGCCTTGGAATCTTTTTAAAGATCTTGGATGCATGAACCTACAAGGTATGAAAAAGAACCCCCGAATCATAAGAAATGGGTCTTTGGATCAGGTACAGAATGCATGCAAGATTTTTTCTGACATGCAGGATAAGCGTGCTAGTATGTCAACGTGAAGGAATTATATCGTCACATCCAACAAGGTCATTTTTATCATAAGCGCAAGTGAGAAAGATAGGAAAGAAAAATGAAAAAATATATATAGGTACCTATGTAAAAGGGGGCGACAACTTAATAGCCGAGCCCTTCTCGAAAAATCGTCATTCTCATACTCTCATACTCTCACACTTTCATACTCTCATACACATACCTACATACCTACCTGCGTACATTTAACCTCTTATCCGACCTCGCAGCATAGAAATCGTTGTACCTCGGATGAAAGAATAGAAACGTATGATCCGTTTCGGTTCCACAGCGATAAGGCTCTTAGTGACTCTCACTCACGGCGGGATGAAATATGAAAATGCTTACGAAGTGGCTAACTTACGACTAACTCGATAGTGATATGGGGAAATACTAAAAATGGATTAGTTCTTCGATAAATTGGTACGACTACCTTGCAATTGCGGAGAAAACAAAGCGGTCTTTTCTCTTTGCCCATGTCATAAATACATATGTACCTAGTACGGAGTAGGTCCTAGGTAGCCGATAACAAATACTTTGGTAAAAATCAAATGAAAAACGGTTGTGGGATATTTGGAGATCATAACCAATTAGATTTGAATATACCCTCATCGAGAGGATACTTATGAGACAATATTCGATAACCCTGAATTAACCCCATTCAAAATCGTAACTCGGATGATGATGCTCCTTCGCTGTCTACTTCGTAATTGTCAAAAATATGTTTACCGAAAGCAATCCCTTCTTCTGAATCAATGAGACCCTTGAGAATATCATATTCATCCCACTTCCAAACCTTGCCTGTCTTATTGAACCCTTTCAATCCCAAATTGTAGATAAAGAAAAGAATTTCGTCACTTGATCATCTTGATTCAAATACTTAACAATTCCTTCTTGTCCTCAAAGGAAGTCACTTGAAACAAAGGACCTGGCTCAAATCATCATCACCCATATCTCGACCGACCTCTTTCAAGAACCACTCTGCCACATCTTCTCCAACAACGAGAAATCTACCGAGTACTTAAAAAGCACTCCGTGTCCGCTTCACGTTGCGATTACCATCCCACCTCAAATCCAAGTTCCCTTCCTACCAATCTTGTACTCACCCAGCCATCTTACCCCTCACCTCCATCCCTTTAGTCCAAGTTGACATCTTTGTTTCTGAATATCCTCTCACACTATTTCTTTCGAACTTGACACTTGACACATCCTCTCGCCCATCGTCATATCGCAGGCCACCAATCCGGTATCAATCTACGTACTTCGAGTCAAGCTTTCTTCGGAATCTCTTTTCCAAGTCCCAAAACAAGACGGATCGTCACATACGATCCAAACCATCTTCGATTCCCACAATAAGTCCGGGGTTTGAGTTTAAGATTACCCAGTCGAAATTCCGCAGAAGAACCACTTGAAGAATTTTGAGTCTTAGTTCGACCGAGGTATACGCATTTTGGGAGTTACAAAAAAATTACAAGAGCAAAGAGCAAGAAAAACGACCTTGGATTCGTTACGTCGTTCAGATCATAAAGATACTTGAATACCGATTTATATGTATATATATACAAATATATTTCTCCTACCGGAAAAATAGAGAAAGTTCTTCATATTCAAAATCTGCTCTTCGAACCCCGCTCTTCTTTCCAAACACAACAAAGAAAAATACACTTTTTCCTCTACCTGCAACCAACCTTATCTCCCCAAAGAACGCAAAAATGAACGCCCCTCTCACATCACCAACCCGCACCACCTCCTCATCAACTTACTTCCAATCCTTCCCAACCGGCCCCTCGACATCCTCCACCTCCTCCTCCTCCAGCGGCCCAACATCGGCTCCTCAACCCCCCGCACCCCAAGCGCCCCAGCGCTCCTCAAGTCAAGACGAAACCTCCCCGTTTCTCAAAGATTTCAACCTCGTCGCCGAAGCAGCCAAGAGGGCACAAATGGCATGTCTAATGCGAGATATGGAGGGCTGCGGACTGTAGTTTTTGGGAACATGGAGAATGGTGATGTGGATGCGCGTGCGAAGATGACGATGTACAATGGGTAGCACACCTACCCATTTATGCGAATCTGCACCAATCAATCGTCCAGAAACCGAGAGTTGAATGACTCGCACGGCGAAGTTCAAACACAAGATGAACAGGAGAGAAAGAGAAAGAGAAGAAAAGAAAAGAAGAGAAGAGAAGAGAAGCGATGGGTCACCAGAAATGTATCATATAGATACTTTTCCCACTGCACAAACCGCATATCTCGCTTCCCTTCAGCAAACCCCTTCATCTGCATATCTACTCTTCTCTCACAATTTCGAAACGTCAGCACACACCACACCACACCACATCACACCCCTCCACCAACCACCCACCACTCCTCAAAATAACGAAACCACGAGTTCAAGACAGGCAGCGACGGCGGCGGCGTTTTTGGCATCCGGAATCTAGGATATAGCATTTAGCATACCAGGACCACAAATGGTGTTTTTTTGGCGTTTCCTTTCCTTTCCTTTTGCTTTCAATTTATTATTATTATTATTATTATTATTACTATTACAGCATCGATTGATTGATTACTTACTTAATCCAAAGCAATCCAAATATTTTTCCACCTCGAAATTAAATATCTATTTGGCTGGTTACTCACGTTACCTACTATTTATTGTTATTAGACAAAAGGAGAGGAGGCGAGAGACGAGGAGAGGAGAGGAGAAGTGGAATTTTGGGAGAGATCAGATGGGAATCGGGATCACACGCACACACACATATATACTATATTTATTATATACTATCATCCCAGACAATAATACCAAATATTTTACGCGCAAAACTGCTTCTTGAATTGAGATAGTTATCGACCATTCACTTGTGAGATTATGTATACATCAATACGTCCCCTATCCTCCCTACAAGCAAGCCCTTACCTCCTCTTTTGATTACATGTCACCAACATATCAAGTAACATAATATCCTCCCCATTAGAGATCATACCATGAATCAAAACCCTCAGCAAAGATATTATAAGAAAATCGTATTCACACCAGTTAAACACTCATACATTCGAATAGATATATCTTCGCTTTGCAGCCGGGTATAACCTTATTAAATATATTATACCATTCGATATTGCAAATCATTAATCATTCATTTACCCACTCCGAACTTCATTGCTCACTCCGATCTTCAATCTCCAATCCTTTCCCTTATCCCTAACCAATCCGAGAATACTCTGCTCGCATCCTTTCCCGGAAACTTCAGGAATTTTGTACAAGCATTTCCCCATTAACCCTGACTATGATTTCTACTTGCGCCATCATTCCTCCTCGGTCTCGTATAACTATCAATATTAACAAAAGCTCCCGTTCCTCCCGATTCTCTAAGGTCTTCTAGAAGTACTGTTGTTTGTTGGTAGACACGTTCAAGGGCCGCTGAGGATGATTTGCCGAGGGAGACTTTAGTCTGTGTTAGCAATTAAGCACACAAGCAAGAAAGCGAGCACTAGCGATTCTTCAAGCTGAAATGGAAGTGAGTGAGAGACGACTTACGAAGAATAGCAGAGTTCAATTCCTCTGCTACAGCAACTCTTCCACTCGGATCCAAGAGATGAGAGACGGTTTTCTCATTGATAGGATCTTTGTATGCAATTAACGAGAAAGCATCTTCCAAAGCTTTGCTAACCTCTCTTCTTGGATCGTCCTTGAATTCTGCTTGAAGGACCTGTCCATATGACAATGTGTCTGATAGCAAATTCTGATAATCGATTTCAAAATTATCACCGCCGTCCGTTTCCATCCTATCCCAATTGTTCGCCTGGGGTTGATGATCATCCAGTTCCATGTCATGATTTAGAATATCATCATACCAATCCCCGTTATGCGCCGAATTCTTTTTCGATGCGTTGGTAGAATTGGAGTTATGCATTTCTGCCATCTGTCGAACCATTTCGATGAACTTGCGACATCTTAATCGAAAATAAACATGTTCGTTGTCTTTCAGAACTTGAGGATAATATGCGTTAGTATATTTGAGGGCCTGCTCAACATCCCCTTCTAATATTGCTGTGCGTATGCCTGTATAACATTAGTATTGATATCTGGCATTAGTCGGGAATACTCACGTTGCCTATGGCTAGCATCTTGATCATCTTTGATATCGAATCCTGGTATGGTAACGTTAGGATCCATGTTCAATGCCTTCTTTTCAGAGTGAACTTCATTCGCGAATTCTCTTGCCGTTTCGACATAGCCATCATGTGTTAGAAATTGTAGAACCTATTTGGAATCAGTCATTAGATGGCCGAACGTCTTGAGAGTAAGTCATACCAAAGATTGAATCAATTCCGTTTCATTCAATGGCGGTTGAAGTTTTGTAGTACTAAGAGATAGTTTAGCATCCCCAACAAGCTACAAGGTCGAAATGAAGTACCTAGTGGAAGCGATCTCATTCTTAATTCGACATTCTTCGTGCTGTAAAGGTGTTAGATCACAATTTTTGACGGTGAGCTGTCCAATCGTTCGGTGCGCGACTGATCCGAGATCAACGATGCATAGCAAACAAGGGTTCTTAGAATGCTTGAAGCTAAAGACATAAAGACATTAAGGAAATTTTTCACCGACCAAGATCATTTCATCTATGTTGTAGACGAACGGACTTTGCCCGAAATTTACTCTAACATGCTCGCCGGGTTTCTTCATACCAACAGATGGAAAAAGCTCGCCCCTTCCAGTTACATCTCGGAATGCGATACCTTTAATGATGATATTAACAGGTGTTCTAAGAAAACGGAACAGAAACAATGGAATAGAATCGAGTTGTAGCATGAGGGGAAGTTTACAAATACTGACCTAAATGATCTCCATTCTTTGTGAAGAAGGCGGTACCAGTTGAAAAGTTGACTCCGCAACCTATTACATCTTCTGTAGAAAATGATGGGCCATAAGCTTTTCCAACACTTGCACCAGCATACCCATGACCATCGTCACCATGATATGCCCAAGAGTCAGGTTCCCATCCCGGTAACCTTGATAAGGGTATTTTTTTGGTGGAAAATCCAATACCAATAGAGCTACTAGGGTGAACGTTAGTGAGGCTTCAACCATGCAAATCAATTGGAAATCATACTCTTCTCGCTTCCGCGACAAAATTGTTACCTCGAAGTAATAAATTCCACACTGGGGAGGCATGGGGTGATCGGATCTGATGGCGGAAGCCTCATTATCTCGATCGTTCATGGATTTCGGGCCCGTCAGTTTCACCTCAAAGCCATCATTTGCGACTTCCAATGCTCCAAATTTGTCTGTTGTACTCCATTTGCTTGGCAACGGGGATAAGGTTTCATCTTCGATGAGGGGAGTTTTTTCGACGAGGTCATAAGGTCTACCTCGATGCGAAGGGACCATCTTTGCATGTAGATTGACACTGCTAGCACTAGTTGAAAGAGAATTTGGTTGTGATGACGGGGCTGACCCATCTCTATGCGCCAGGACCTTTGCCTTGTGCGCTTCCTCTAACTTTTGCACATATTTCGATCCCCTCAGATATGAGGGTACAAAGAAATGGTCCGTATTCCCACCAAGTCCCCCGTACCCATGCCCATTGGGGAGTGAAGAAAACTCATTTGCGAGTGAACCAAAAGCGCTTGAGAAACTTGGTAGTTGTCCTCCTCTACCCCATGATCCTGATCGTCCTTGATTGACCCCGCCATTACCATTTTCCTCATCATACCCGGAGAATACCCCATATCCGTATCGCCCATTATAATTTGGATCGTAGTAAATGGAATCATGTTGTTGATTTAACATGTGTGTGTTCGAATTTAGAAGATTTGCGAAATGGCCGGGTCTTGAAGGTTGTCCATATTGTTGAGAGTTACCGGCAGCTATGCCAGATACAACAGAGGCATATGAAGATCTTCGAGGCATGAAACCGGGAGCTCCAGTAGGCATGCCGGAGTCTGGAACCCCCGGTGAGCCCGAAGGATATGAGTTTGTCATCTCGACCGTATGTAGACAGTAGTTAGATTGAGAGAAGAGACTCGTTGTCGCTTGTGAGTATTTAGAAGTCGAGAGGTTTGGTTGTGTATGGAGGTTGTTTTGTGTTGTTTTGTTCCTTGAGCTTGAGGTTGTAAGGCGCAGAAGTTGAGTTTATTACCTATCTGCAGCTCTCAATTCAGTAGTGAATGGCGGATTGAACCAAGGTTGAGACGAAGTGTGATGTACCAGTAGTAGTTGGATTGTTTCATGACTAGCGAAATCTCATTGAGTGTTAATGTGGTTGAGTTCAGAATTCACATTAGAATCATATTTCTGAATGTTCAATATCTTATAAAGCTTCAGTTTGGAGTTTGTACGAATGATAAGTTGTTATCAAATCTTTAACACATCAATGTACGGTAGCTGTGTAGGTAGGTTCCTCGAATGTTGCCATTTGCGGATTTCATCATACGTGAGCTAATCCCGTTATGGTTCGATCCCCGATGACCGGGGTGATGGAAATCATCATGAGGAGAAACATTTATCACGATTCACGAACTTCACTGATTTCTATCATTTGCTGCTTATGAACAAATTCACCATATTTCGAGTAACATTTATTATGATGGGAGGATATGAGCGGTACAATCATCAAGTGGGTAGGTAGGTAATTAATTAATTTACCTAGCTACCTATATACATACACAAGCTGAACGATATCCTCTCAAAGTGTTCAATATACTTTCTGAAATCCCTACTTGATATGATGATAGAAATCATCCCGGAGACACAAGACCACAATGCATTGAGATTCAAACCATTTGAATGAGCATAGCTCCCAGCCATATCATTCTATTTAGTATATACATATATCACCCAATCGAGGTCGAATCTTGGAGAAGAACACCACAGATCGATCAGACGAAAATCAATGAATGCCCATCTGAACTCAAATAATCACATTATAAATTATGTCAATTTAAATACAAGCTCAAACAAAAATATCATTACCATGTAAATATCCCCTGATAGACGCAAATATCCAAGAATAACATGGATATCTGGGTCCCTCGTAAGAAATGAGACTTGCCGTGAAGCGATGACATTTATGAACAGCCAGTCGAAGCTACATTTGTAAATGTGAAAGCTACTGACGAATTCACTGATCCGTCTGCAAATAGCTTGCCATCATGGTTGGAACTTGGGACTGGAGATCATGGTAAAGAAACACGTGAACTGGCCTTTGTATGCCCAGTCGGGCTGTGAAAGCAAGAAAGTAATCATAATCTATAATTGTTTAAGCAATAATGCGTGAACCCAAAGGCCGCGACATGCTACATTAACACTCCCCTGCTTTGAGGAAACGCCAGAAACACCATTGCTTTGGCGGAATTTATTTCCACTCCATCCCAGTTCATTCCATCCACAACGCCCCGTAGATTTTCCCAAAGCCCAGTAAATTGAAACCAAAGAAATTTTTATACATGTCTTGCGTTGGTGACAAAGCAGGGCTGTTTTGTAATCCGATTCCTTGACAAGATTGCCCATTAACGAGAAAGAAGAGGTTGATCGGGTAGGATCCGAGTTCTAATACAGAGAATAAAAGATTAAAATAGGCGGAAGGTGTTAGGCGGAAGCAGTGATAACCGCAGGAGATTGAGTTTGATCTTGAGTTGATGTAGGCGCAACAGCAGGTGCAGAAGTGGAGGTAGACGTAGAGGCTGGAGCTGTAGCCATGGCTGGGGGAGAGCTGACGAGGTTGGTAGCATCAACATCCATGGCACTAGTGCTCTTCTCACTTTCAATCTGGCTGTTTTCCTTGTTCTCCTTGCTACTGTCACCAGTTGACGAACCTTCAGTACTGGGATTAACTGTCACTTTAGGAGGGGCTCTCCATCTAGGAATCTCGATAGGGATGCCCGTAAATGTTTTGATAATGAAGGAGCGCTTCTCCCATTTGCGACAAGGTTTACCAGAACGATCAAGGGCACGTAAGCCAGCATTGATTGCGCCTTGGTTGGCCTTGGGCCCAAGCCGGGAACTATTTCCATTGGACGCCCTTGGAGTACTTCCGTTAGGAGCAAGTGTGCCATCATCCCTAAGATAGAGTTAGCACATGTAAAAGAAGATAACTGCGGAGCCCGGTGTTCCCTAGAGCATTGACCCGCCCAGCAAGAGATATAGCTTTGAAGCTCGACGATAGTGAAAAGGTGCAATGTACTTACAATCTTGCCTTCTTCTTTGGACCTGGCTTGCCTCTAGCCCTAGGAGTTGTGTCTGATCCCAAGGCGGCAGTAGAACTTCTCTTGACGCCAGCCTTCTTCTTAATTGCTTCCGTTGGAGGGGGCCATCGATGATGAAAACTGGTTGTATCAGTACCATTTGGTGCGGGCGTATTTGGGTCCGACTCGACCGGAGCATCACATTTTTGACTCTTTGCGACAGGCGTAGTGGTTGGAATTGTTGATGTGGAATCCTTTGATGGAGAGTCTTCTTTGACCAAAGGTTGACCAACACCCCTTAACTTTGCAGGAGATAATTTGAGAGTAATGATCATGGAACTCTTCTCTTTCAGGCCCGACGACTTTCGTCGTGGAGCAGAGGTAGTCGGCGTAGGTTTGCTTGCTGAAGCCATGATGGAGGAGTCGTGGAAGTTGTGAGACGTGAAAGTTTGAAGACTGGGAATTGACGGTCGCAATAAATAGGGTGGTGAGGTATTGTATGTGTCGAGGAAGGACGTATTGAGCGCTCGAATCAATCGTACAGTATGGATATGGGTGATGGGTTATGATTTGGGAGGTCAAATGGTGATGGTATTCAACATACTTCGAAAATAATTTAAGGTGTTGAGTGTGAATAATTTCTTTTTGGTTGAATTGAAAAACGAAGTAATGATAAGTTGGAAGGAAAGGTTATGGGGGTATGGAAAATCATGATTAAAATTTAAGAGCAATGGACTTGTCTCGTTTTTTTCCCTCTACTATACGCGTTGAGTGAAGGCAGGCTGAGAATGTTGGTGCTCTTTCACCCAGATTATTATTAGTTCAAGTTGAAGAAGATTATACGCGAAGTCGGCTTTTCTGGCTTCCTTTGTTTTGGGGGCGGATGCTGGTTACCTCTGATGTGATTTTCTTTTACATTTATGATTTTGGATATATTTCTTTTCTTTTCTTTTCTTTTCCTCTCTTTATCATTCATCCAAAATTACATCTTTCTTTTGAAACCGTCGCCTTTTTATACGGCATTCATTCATCTTCTATTTGGCATCTTGAATGAATCATGAATCCATCCACGAATACCTGGGTAGAGGCCGTAAGTAGTATGTATTATTTCATCGTTATCATCCATTTCCAGTTTCAGTAAGGTTACCACTAGGTAGGTAAGCCTTTCCTCTCACTCAATCTCCTTATTATTCCTTCCTTCCGCAATCCCTGGCCTGACCATCGAACGTTGAATGCTTGGAAAGCAGAAAGGTAACGCCGATATGGATATAACGATCAAACTTTTTGCAGGGAGGCATATATGTGTGTATATACATATATACATATATTGGGCCGGTCCGTTTTCCAATCATTCCATCCGCTCTCGTCGCATCCCCTAATCAACGGAATCTCACGTCATGAGAAAGACATCGCTGGCAACTAGAGGACAAGAGTCTAAAAGAAGTGGCCGCCAATCTAATGGAAGTAAGGACAGAGTGATCAACTGGTTTTATTCCTATTCATTACTATATCGATTGACTTTTTAACTTTCACATCGTTACAAATTTCCCTTTGCTCCGGATAGTCAAGTATCTCCACGATGTGTCCGCCCTCCCCCCTCTCTTTACCAGACACTAAGTACATCTCGATCATTCTTTCCGACAATGTTTACCAAATTTGTAACCCCCAAGAAGTATCAAGAAAGAATTTTATCCACCACATGAGGATGAATACTAATAAGTATCTGCACAGACAGAGTGGCGCCAAATATCAAAACCAACTCATTCTTTTTCACCAACAATAGACGAGGCTTGCGACATCTTACAATCCCCGGAAACAGCAATTTGATGTGCGTATCATCACACCCATTTATTTTGAGCTATTGGGTGAAGAGATTGCGAGGGTGACCCCTTTCTTCTTTTTCTTCTTCTTCTTCTGGACACTGGATATTGAACAGGTGGCTGATCATTTAATTTTTTATCGGATCATTAGCATCATAATCCGATGCATCCCTCTCTATCCGTCACATTAAAATTCGAGATTTAGATGATACTCTGGACTTCGAAATATAAGCATTGCCGCGCACACCTGAAACCATGAATTATTCAAAGCAGGGAATTTGGGAATTAACCAAAAAAGGTATGATAGCATTAACCAGCAGAAAAGCAATGACAAAGGGTAGCATAGCACTGCTTGATCCTTTGATCAATCCTTTTGTGGATGTTCCGCTCAAAAATCGTTGCGTTGATGGTCTGGAGATTTATAGATGTGTCAAATAGTTTTGACATTAATAAATCGTCGATCTGTTGTACTCTTATTCTAATGTTTATCGCTTTTGACAAGTAGGATGAAATTTCAAAAAATCCATCATCTCACAGAGGTACACATCAGGCCAACTCAAGTTGGACAGCATTTATAGACAAATTTTGCTTCGTCGCATATAGCATTATTTGCATTTATCATTGATGGTTACCTAGCATGCCCCATCAGTTGATGTCTGTCTAAGTCACAGTATTGGAACAATTCGACCAGTAACGTGCAATGAAGCAAACGTGGACGATTTTCTCATGGGCGTTGCTTAAATGTCTTATTTGGCTTCAGACAATGGTATGTCGGTCAAAAACTCTAGTCTCATGAGGTTCACTGGAATACACATCAATCGTCTTCAGCATCCGAAATCTTCGTCCATGTCACATAATCGATACCGTAATTCAAGGAATCACAATATTAACATCGTCGGAGGCGTCTTTGAGGTCCTGAATTGTACTGAAAACGGCAATCAAGTACACCGATTTTGTGATGAGATTTTGGTTGAAAGAA